AAGCAGTCAAGTATTACACTTTCATTCTAAAAGAGAAATAAAATGCACTAAAAATCAAYCTTTTCTCTCCTCTCAGAAATGCAAAGGGAAGGGTCAGATTCCATATGCTAYATGCTTTCAGTTAGTGGCAAGGCCCTTGTTTGGACAGGTTACTTCATTGCATATGCCAGTCTTCTCTACTGTGGACCTAGTTACTACATAAATTCTTATGAACTCAGCACTAAATCCAATGCTCCCTTTGAAAAGCTGAGCTTTAATGACATCCAGAGCAGCAAGAAGGCTTATTTAATAAAATTATAAGATCTGGCATAAGGAGAGGAGAACAGCACTTCCCTATCCACCTCTTTGACATAATTGTGTTACCTGCAAATCAAACTTATTACAATGGCACTAGTCTCAAACAAGCCCAGCAGCATGCACTAAGCTTTCTCTAGTCTTTCCACTATTAACTCCCACCAGAATCCTTGATTAAATGGAAGCCTTTGTGCTACAAAATTCTGCATAAACCACTGGGTTTTTCTGGTGTTCAAACAGCTCAATATTTAGCATGATTCCTCCAGCTTAAAAAAAAACAAGTTCTCCAGTTTTGCTTGCTTTTCCAAGTCTGAGCTCAAGTTAYAGCAATAAGTTTAGCCTAATATTGATAGTTTTACCAGAACAAATGTTAACACACTGGATTCTGCCTGCACCACACTCTACTTTGTCCCTGTGAGAAACTACACCAGAATCCTTAAAATCRCAGGTTATGTTCTTATTTGTAAATATGGCAGTATCTGAGCACACCTGAGTTTATTAGAAGGTAATTGTCTACACTACAGAARTCCTAACAGCCCCTCTGCTCACACAAACACTTCCCAGAAATGGTTCAGGAGTTAGGATATACAAGGCACAACTTCCAGAGACAACCCAAAGCCATCTTACAACAGAGGCCCAGAGCAGACAGGAATCATCCTGTGCCTCTCAAATGTAAATCCGAATGGGATTTACACTTTCACAGATTCAACATGAGCATCTCATAGATTTTTTTTCACCTATGAAGACAGSCATGGCTTTTGCAAGAGGCTGAAGAGCCTTTCCTGAATGCAATGATGAAGTTGATTTGTTGCACTTTCCATACCCTGTTCTAGTGGGTCACATAAAATCTGCCAAGAAACCTAACCTTTCAACCAATCCTGTGTTCTAAACTATAATCATAATYCTCACACTTATCCTTAACAAAACCTCAGTACAATGTCCCTCATGCAGAATACATCCTGGCATTGAAGGATGCAGAGATACACCAGGACCTGTAACCTAAATTATTCCAAACTATCTCCACTTTTCRTCTGAATTACAGTTTAACCACAACTCAGTCATGCCCACGCAAAGCAGTACAGACCTGATGGCACCCAGGAAAGCCTTCCCTTGCAGGATTTAGCTGCACAGCTGCCTTTCCAAGCCCTCCTTCCCAGAACACTAACCCTACCTACAGGCTGAACAGCGAAGTGGGAACTGCACTGGCAGTAAAATTAACAGTAAGGGGCAGAGCCTGACCAGAAGCATCCTTCCAATTATCCCAATGGGCCTTTTCCTACTCAAGTCCAAACCCTATCCCTTGCCATGTGTTGTGGTTTAACCACACAGCATTAATTCAAATTCAGCTCAGGAACAGAGCTGCCCACTATCACTCAGCCTTGCTGGTACTAAGCCATGGCCCACTCACATGTTCCTCACAGAGCAGCCAGCAAGAAAATAAGACATTACTCATCTCAAAACTGTCTTGAAACACAACCCCAGCCAAAAACATGGTCTAGTGACATTAAAAGAAAAATAGGAAAGGTTTTTTGACCATTTTGCTAATTAATATATCAGAGCTCATAAAGAAAGACTCATCAGCTTTCCTCCAGCACTGCATCATCTGAAAGAGCTGTGTCAGCAGAGACTTCAGCAGACAGTCAATAATGCTAAAAAGTGTTCTAAGTAGTAAATCAGAACACAAAAAAAGACTTTTAGGAAAAAATTAAAATAGTTGTAARAAATTCAGTACTCTAYTTTCAGTATTTTATATAAACCAGKTTATATTTGATATGCAAGTCCTGCCATTCCTTATAAAGGATATTCTCTTAACTTTCCCAGAACTGCTTTTATAAAATGTTAGGAGTTTACAAAAAACCAAGCTAAAGCTTGCTGATTTTTCATCTTTGTGAATTTCAAGGATTTTCACTGCTTTATAACAGAGGCACCACTTGTCTGCTTCTCATTCTCATCATTGGTGTGGGCATACTATTGCTGAGCACACAGGGAGGTTACAGAGGACAAATTCCTCCTCAGAGGAGGATTCAGAGAAGTTGTCTTACACACACACACACTGAACTCTGTTTTTGTCCAGAAAAGGATGAGYAGGCTGCATCAATACAGCACTCCAGTGCTTTTGCTGATGGCATTGTGGAAAGAACATCTGTAAGCACAGCTGGAGTCTTCCATCCTGCAGGATGAATGACAGGCCAGGTATGAGAACCAGAATCCCTAGGTGGATTTCTAAGAGGGTCATATATGTATGTGAAACAAAGCTCCAGCCATCTTCTCACAGAACATGCTTGCAGGCTCAGAATGTGTCCAGACACACTTCTAAAAATCAAATYTACTTTTTAATGAGGGGTGGTGGCAGGGAGGGAACTATGGGTGCAATATACACACAGATGGGGCTAGAACTACAGATCCTTCTAATGCCCCAGTCTTATGGTGAATTGTGATAACAGTTTTTGAAATGAATACACACCTCTAACTCCTGCTCTGCTGCTGTGCAGTAACATGTAATATATGAGGGATAAAACAGCTGTATCAAAAGCTGAGACTAAATGCTTGAAGAACCAATGCCCCAGAAGAAATASAAAGGATATTTCCCTAGAGAGAATTACTCAGCTGCATATTTTATAGAACAAGTCATGTTGAAGGAGAGATAGGATAATTGCATTGATTGTTAGTAGGTGATAATTAATTCTGCAGAGAAGTAAGTTTAGTTTCCTGAAGTCTAGAATAGGATGGAAACTCTTCATTTTGTAATGAGAAAATAACAGTGTTTTGCTTGCAGCACAAGAAGCTGCAATGTCTCCTTTTAACATTCTTAAGGTACTTACAGGAAGGTAGTACAATGAATGATGTTAAAATAGGAGTTCCATGATGTGAATGAACGTCAGAAAATTGCACATATGACATCTAATTCCAGAAAGTATAGAGTAAAAGGAGACCAGAGAAAAAGAATATCATGTTCTTGAACAGACCTTTAATATAAATATTTGAATGGAAAAATGTGGAAACCAAAATTGCAATTGATTTCTTTTTATGAAGGGTTAGGAAACAAACACAGAGAGCAGGAGAAATGCTTTTCAATGGTATTTGAACAGTATTTAAAGTGGATAGGACTGACACCAACCCTCTCAGAAGTTARCTAGATTATTTTATTCTTAAAGGGATAAAAGAAGCAACTTGAGGGATTTTTGTGTTTATTCCTAGGGTGATTTGTCGGCCACTGATTTTTGGTTTATGAGGAAAGATCTTAGGTATATATAAGAGATCTGAGAAGAATAAGTAAAGCCAACAAGCCAMGGTTCAATAAACATGGGTCCACATGTTCATATAAAATTTGTAGGTGTCTTCAAACAGAAAACTTTTCAAAGTCAGTTTTCAAGAATCTGCAGAAGTGTGCAGAAGAAAGATCAAAAGCTACTAAAAATTATATTATAAAGCTTAATTTACCTACAATAATTGATTGCCAAAGAGTTATAATCTTCCCCCTCCAATATTCTTTGATAGCAGTGAATTCCATTGATCTTTGGTAAACTGCATTATGTTGCAATGTTTATAGTAAATTTTCTGAACAGGGAMAAGCCCAAGGGCAACACCCCCAGCTTCTTCAAGTTGACAAGATCATTTCTTTGAAGCTTTCACATTCCCAAAAGAGAAAGTTGAAAGAATTTTTTTTCTTCCCAGGAGTGATAATGTTACAAGACTTATGAACTATTCCCTGATTCAGAAAGAGAATCCAAGAACTTTACAGACTTAGGAAAGTTGCCAAAAAATTTTAAAAGAATTTGTCTACTAAGTTCATGAAAAGGTCTTCAGATAAGGAAAATCCACACCAGAGAACTAAAGAAGTTGTACARAGAAGGAATACCATAAATAATCAGGAATCTCATAGCTGACCTTCCTTTACATGAATTCAGCTTTTTAGGTCTGTCAACCGAGTGGAAAAAGACAATGTACAATCATGCTACAAAGGGGCAGGAAACKTCAGGATTTTCTACCATCAGAAGAGATTGCTGAATAACTAAAGTTTTCTAGGAAGTTTAAGGTTTCTCATGTCAAGTTACCCATAGCTCGTGAAAAATTACAATCTTACGTGACATTGCCTTGGAAGTTTTTTTAATAGAACAGCTGCAAGTTGTACAATACCATGGCATGGTTGGCAAAACTGATTTAGTAAGCAGGTATTGTAATTACAGTACTATGGACTAATGTTTTTTATTATTATGGCCTGAAAAGTTTAAGAAAAAGTAAATTACTTGTCCTGCACAAGCACAACAAAAGGAAAAGCTGTGACACTTTTTTTTACTCTGTAGAGTTCTTAGCGTTTTCTTTAATATTCCTGGTAATGAAGTGTGACCCAGAGCAAGGAAAAMAAGCAAAGAAATACTTGTATTCCTGAAAATGCATATTGTTTGAGTCTCTACACTCTATAAGACACGTTGCACTTCCACTTATTTGAAAGTGTATTTTCTTCCATTTACAACACCTGTACTGAAAAATAAGGCTACAGCTCTTCCTCAGAATGACTTGGCTATATACACTACCTGGCTAAGAGCAACTCCTAACAACAGCACTCAGCTTGAGTGAGTCCACACAAAGCAGTGTCTCAATTTGCAAGTGTCTCGGCCACCACAGTTTCTGGAAGCTGATTTCATTTACTGCCCAYACTACTTTCAGGTTGCTGACTTTTTTTCCAAAATAGGAGGACAGCTTACCCGATTTGTGTCCGGCCAACAAACCAACTTTGCTTTCATCTGCCACTGGAGAAATAAAAGAAAAGACACAAAGATCAGAAGCTTATTTAAATTCACAAGCCTTTGAAACACTGTCAAATTATTTCAGACACAGCATCCTGAATCTTTAAATTATAATAATCTGAAAAAAGCCTTTCTTTACCTAATCCACATGGGGTGCTTCAAAGTCCAAATATCTGAGTCAAAGCCCTCTGAAACCAATAAAAGGACTACCAGCAGTCCTTGTGGGTTACAGATCAGGACCTCAGCACTTACACGCTCAAAACTGAGTTGTCATAAGAGCAATTGCACTTGTAAATAACTCATCTTGCCAGACAAATCACAGGGCATAGGAGAGTTGTAACATTTTTAGATCAAAGACCTCAATTGTAAAAAGAATCCAGATGTGGAAACCTTCCCATCTGCAAGACATCTCACTGACTCATGGGACCCTCTGCAGATAATAAGGTCTCCCAAACCCTGAGCTTTCCGAAGGCTTATGAATTTTCTGTATGTTATATTTTATTTTGTCTATAAATTGTAACTTGGTAGTATTTCAAACACACTGTTTGCAGACAGTAGTGGAGAAGCAATTTCTGAATGTAATAGGAATTGCAAGTTCTGTTCAATAACTTTGCTTCAGTTTATCATCATATATCTCAAGAAACTAATTAAAATACTCTCTTGGAGGGCTGAGGGGAAGAACCAATCACTATTTCTTAAAATGAATTCTATGTAAAGAATCRGCGGTAAATGTAATGTTTGGGATGATAAAACAAGAACAGGAAATGAATGCTAGGGTTGAAAGCTTATCCTTCAACTCTGCCTGCCCAAGCACTCCCTTATAACTTGCCTTAAAAGGAATCTCTTTATATGACAAAATAAATTGTCAAGTCATTCCACAAATTCTATAAATGCAAACTTAAACAAGCTTTGTATAGCGGTCACTATAAAAAATTTACATAGAGTGTTATCTGTAATGATACAAGAGCCTGGTATTTTCTACTCAGGGAAGAGCACTACAGTAGTTACTGACATTTAGGGGTTACTACTGGGAAAATAATCCCAGTAGATATTTTCTTACATTGCCTCCCCACTTCACATTTAGGGAAGCTTTTAYCCTCAAAAATCAACATCAGATTCAGGACTGGGATTCACAACGGGAGTCATGAATCCACAAATGAACACTGCACCTCTTCTCTACTTTCGTGATTTGTCACCTGATTATCAGTAAATTGGTACAGTGTGGTCCCTTTGTGGGACATAGGTGCTAATAAAGTAAGACTAACACTGTTTGCAGCATTGTGTAGAGTTTCTGCTAAACAAAATGGCATCAGGACTGGTCAAAACTAGAAATGCAACCAAAACTCAAGGAAGTTCTGCACTCCTTGACCTTTCACCTTTTTTTCTAGGCCCTGTAAATGATAACTACTTAACTCCTTGCTATGTAGTTTGATCCTGTAATGCAAAATGACTGGACAAGGATTTACTATAAGGATAGTTTAAACTCCTTTTCCTCTTCCCTTCTCCCAAATTTATCTCTAAGCAAAACAACTGTGGAAAACTTTGGTCCCAAAGGTGAGTGTTTTGACAAGTTATGATCRYGTGAAAACAAGGGATTATAAAGGAAACTGATTCAGAACTTTAATTATACCAGTCACTAATGGCAACCAGTATAATGTATGATAATTACTTAAGGTAGATAATGCTACAGTACATAGGAACTTTTAAAAAAAGACAAAACCCAAGGTTCACAGTATATTTTTTAAAACTATGCTGATGACTTGGTTTGCCTGAAACTAAGTTGTACATTATTAAAGGGATAAATCCATTTAACTTAATCACACTCTACACACCAGCTTCACACAYAAAAACCAGATTTTAATACTGGAGGGAAAAAGGGAAGAATAASATGATTAGAAAATGAAAAATAATCTTAACAAAATACAAGGTTAGCATTATAAGTTTAAGCACACACACGCACTAAAACTGTGAAATGCRAATACTAATGTTCTATATCAAAGTTTGATCAAAATATGTGTGCACCTCTGCAGGGTAATTTTCATTTCATGGGTTATTATGCTTAGGCAGGGCCTTCTAGGCTGGCCATCTTTCATTAGACTGAACAGGAGTCACACAGGCAAGACACTGGATAAAAATCCCATCCCCTCCCTTGTTTCCCCTGGAAACAAGGAGAAGACAACAGAAAAAAAAAAAGAAAAAAGAGGGGAAAGAAAGGCTAACAGAAGATAAATACTTTGTATKCCAAGGTTGAAAAATTTGTAACTACAGATTTCATTTAGGAAGTAAATAGGACATCCCGTTCCACAGAATACCACTGGAAAACAATTCTTTGCACGCTGTTCAAAATTCATACAAACATTCAGTTATGACAAAAATAGTCTTTCTCTAGTTCTTGGCCTTTGAAAAAAGGCAAGAGCTAAGAGGAAATGTGTTTTCTAAGATTCTACTAATGTTGGCCTATCTTTGTAAAAAATCACCTGAAAGATTTTAAACAAGGAAAAMTACCATCTACTCTTAAAACTCAAGTGAAAAGAATTCTTATTATTTTTATATTGCAACATAAAAAAGTAATTACTTTGCAAATAACTGAAATATTTCAGCTCRAGAAGATCACACTTGGGAATAYACAAGGAACTATTTTTTATGAAGAYACTAGAATTAATGTATATTCTTGAGATAAAATTATTAAATGCATGACATCTCAAAAAAATGAAACCACCTAATTTGGGGACTGTAAAGGAAAAACTCAAACAAAAATCTTAGAAGGGTTCACGCAAGAGAATAAATAGATTCACAAGCAAGAAGACACTTTTCCTGAACTTGTGAATCAAACAAAACGTCACATTTTGAAATGTCCCTGGAACCTCAGGGATTGTTAGTTCATCAAGTTATTAATGTTTCTCTGTAGAAATCATGCCAGCTCTTTTAAAATAATATCTATTATTCAAGAACCACATTTTCACCATAGAAACCAGTTATGCATTCACTGTCAGTACTCAAAGTAATTGCTGAAATAAAAGATGAAAGAAGTTTTACAGCTCCTTAATAAAAACATGGACATTTGGGGTCTAGCAAGACTACAGATTGTGAAAGATGGAATATTACTAAACCAAACAAATCTGCCCAGCTGATA